TTACACTTCCATATTCGAGACCTGATCTAACTAAGCTGTTGAAAATACTTATTCTAGTGGATATATGTTTAAAATCTTTGCAATTTCTAATTACGAAGCCAAGAGACACATAACCTTTAGAGGTAATTTTACTAATATGTTTGTCAAACTTTAGTTCTGAATCAAATGTTACACCCAGGTCCCTTATGGTGCTGACTGTTGAAATAAGCTTATCTTGTATTTTATATTTGTTATTTAGAGTGTTTTTGTTTCGACTGAAATGCATGTGATAACATTTATCTACATTAAGTGTCATTTTATTAATTGCGCACCATTCGGCAAGCCTGGAAAGGTCATCCTGAAGAAGAACTGAGTCTGAAGCCGATTCTAGAGGTTTAGCTATTTTGAGATCATCAGCGTAAAGATAAATATAAGAGTATAAAAAACATGCTGTTATGTCATTGATGAATATATTGAAAAATACTGGGCCGAGGTGTGATCCCTGAGGCACCCCCGAGGGTGTAGAGAAAGAGTCTGATGTGAAACCATTTAATACTACTCTTGAAGTTCTGTCCTCCAGATAGGAGGAGCACCAATTTAGAAAGTTACCGCTGATGCCAAATGATGATATTTTCTGTAAGAGGATGCCATGATTAACTTTATCGAAGGCTTTTGAAAAGTCCGTATATATTACGTCTACAGTGACTCGTTTATCAACTGATGTGATCAGATCGTTTAAAAAAGAAATTAAATTGGATGACGTGGAACGCCCTTTGACAAAACCATGTTGTTTGGAGGTAATCTGCTGTTTGATGTGCCAAGAAAGTACGGGACATAACAAGGATTCAAAAAGTTTTGCAAATACCGGTAGAATTGATATAGGCCTATAATTTGTTGCATTCTTATTATCACCTGATTTAAGAATGGGTACGATAAGTGCCGATTTCCATGCTATTGGAAAAGTGCCTGATGACAAGGATCTGTTAAATATTTCGCATAATGGGTATGATAAGCAATTAGCACAATTTACTGCAAAAACTGAAGGGATACCGTCCGTGCCTGAGCCCTTGTTTTTATCAAGAGATTTAAGATTTTTAAATACTGAATCTACAGAGATAGTTATGCTGCATAACACATTAGATGAATCCCGTGCTTTTAAATATTTAGTCCAAGGTTCTGTGACAACTGTACCGTCGTATACTGAAGCGAAGTGAGAAGCTAACAAATTACATATACTTGGCCCTGTCGATGCTATATGTGTATCAAGATGCATTTGGGAGGGAAAAGAACTTTTAGTTGACCTTTTATGTTTTAAATACGACCATATTAATTTAGGATTACTCTTTATGGATGTTTCGATTGAAGATAAATAATTGTTATAACATTCTTTAGTGACAGTAAGACATCTTTTCTTTAGTGACAAGTATGATGTGTTATCTAACGGATTTTCGTATTTGTTATACCTAATTCTGTGTTTATTTTTTTCCTTTAATAATTTTTTAAGTTTATGAGAGAACCATACTGGATGAGCCTTGCTCGTCCTTAGCCTAGCCATTGGGATAAATTTTTTAATTGCAATTTGAAGAATCTCATAAAACTTATTAACCATATCGTCCACAGATGTACAAGACTGAAAAATAACATCCCAGCAGACACCACTAAGATAGTCACATATTTTGTTGTAGTCTCCCTTGTAGAAGTTATATCTTGTCTCACTAATACCACTTGATAATGTTTTTTTACTATCACTACGTACAATTTGAATAAAAAATTCTAGGGGTGGGTGGTGGCTATCTATGTTGACGATGGGGGTGTCAGTAGTTTTTAAGTCTAAGATAGACTCCGATGATAAAACAAGATCTAAACTCTTATGAAGGAGGTTTACTATGTGGTTATATTGGTTAAGTCCATTTAGAGATAAAAAATTTAAAAATGAGTCATTATTAGAATTACTTATATTGCTAGATGCTTGTAACGGTAGGCCAGGAGACCCAGACCAGGTCAAATTACTTAAATTGAAGTCGCCACATATTAAAACACTTTTATTGGACTCCATAACATTGTTGGCGTTATTTAAAAAATGATTTAAAATGTCAAGTTGTGTGGGAGGGGGTAAATAGACAGCACAAATAATTAATTCTTCAGTTCGATTAACGCGCAATTTAACAAACAAGTCTTCACATTTACTTTCGTAATTTGATAATCTTACTGAGGGGATCGTTCGTGACACTGCAATTAAAACCCCGCCACCACCCTTCTTGTTATGAAAACCAGTTGACTCTCTGTCACGTCTGTAAACTATATATCCACTACCAAATAATTCAGAGCTGCAAATGTTACTATTTAACCACGTTTCGCAAAAAATAATTACATCGTAGTCACTGTTCAATGTGTTTTTATAAACATTATTAGTTTTTGTACGCAAACCTCTCACATTTTGTACATAAATGTTTAATTTGTTTAACATTTTAAAAAGAAACAGGAGAAAAAAACAAGCATGGGTATATAAACAATTTAAAATAAGAAGAAAAAAAAAAGGAACAATAGCTCCTATGACAAGGATTTTATAACCTCTAAGTTCTTAATATAAATGGTGTCAGACAATTCTGTTTTTCGTACAAAAATTCGCCCACCGCGTATCCAGATAAATTTATAATTTAGTTCTTTAGCTCGAATCCTCGCTGCAGCGTGTAAAGATTTATTTTCAGGCGACAAGTTTTCTGTGATATATATTGGCTGTTTACGGTCAAGGGCTATACCCAGATGTGACGTATTTAATTTATCATCTGAATGTTCCTTATTGTACTTTATGACTGCAGCCAAAAAACTGTCACGAGTACGTGGCGTGTTGAATCTCACTAAAATACAACGTGGACGAGCACTAGATGCATTCTGTTTGGCAATTCTGGAGCAATAGAATATCTCGCTGTCATTAATTTTTATATTAGTGGTCACGCCGATCTGCTTAACAATGTTTATTACATTTTCTGATTTATATTCAGGCACACACTGTATTTCCAGATTAGTGGCACGCGATATTTGGTCTAGTTGACTCATACGTGCCGAGAGGGAGTTAAGATCAGAGCGAAGATTCTCATTTTCCTTCCGTAGTGACTTAACTTCGACATTAATTGTAGTGAACTCAGAACTTATTTTATCGAACTGTGTACTCATAAAGTTTAGGGACTCCTTAAAATCACTTATCTGATCCGAAAGTTGTTTAAAGCGTGAGTTCATAGTTGAATTAAAGTCATTTAAACATTCCTTCAATACGTCACGCATTTCTTCTCGAACAATATCTCTAAGATTGCGCGTATTTACGTCAGAAAGTGACACTGGTGACGATCGAGCGGATGCCAATGATTCTGGTTTTTGTACTTTGCGGCGCGTATTAACAAAAGAGTTATCAGGTGAGCCAGACAGTGTTGACGGCCGGACTAAATTATTTGTGTTATCTCCTTTTCTCTGTTTACTAAGACACTTAGGGCAGGCCCAAGTACTCTTATATTCCTCGGTCAAGCAATCGAATTCAGCCTTGACAAAATTAAGACACAAATAATGATATTTCAGAGCGCAGTGGCAACAATTTAGATATTCTAAAATATCTATTGTTTTTTGACACGCTGCACATTGAACCATTGTAATATGACTTTTACGCTTACACGACAGGGATAGCAATTATGGACGTTGTCTCTTAGCGTAGCGGTGAAGGGGTCGTCCCCGCGCTAGCAGCCACTGTCCGCGGCCACGCACGAATTTACTTCGGTAAATCACTATCACTGACTTACGAATATAACACTAAATGTAGTACATTTAAGCACAGAATTAACTTAATGGGTGAAATTTAAATTATAGGAAAGAATAACACACGTCTGTCTCCTATGAGCTCGCACGTCGACATTACAATAAATACAGAATATTTTTTGGAATATACGGACACGTACACACAGGTTAGTAGTTGGCCTGTCTATATTTCAGTGCAAATGAGAGTTGATATTTATAAGAGCTGTATCGCTAATGTGTTACCAGGAATATATGGCCGTTATTCCGTCTCAATTTTTGGTTATATACTCGATGAATAACACTATTATTTTATAGTGTAATTATATCAATTATTGAAAAAAAAAAATTAAGAGAGATCACTGATTTCAACCAGACGATGTATGCGGCAACAACTGCAGGTGCATTTCACAACAACTCTATAATCTATGCTAATTATGTCGCCCTTAACACGTAAAAAAATCTCCCATTAATATTTTATGTCATTCCGTCCCCCTGTATCGGTTTGGCGAGGGCTACGTGCAAAGTCGCACGATGCCTGCTAAAGTCCATTTATCAAAAATCAATACCTGTTCCCTAGCTAGCGTATTGTCAAATTTCACATTTCGTTATTCCATAGAATAGTTTTAAAAAAAAGTCCTAAACAAAATGTATACTACAAAATATTTTTGTTTTTTTTAATACATTTTTTTTATTAAATCAAAAACCTCGTGAACAGCACTAAAATGATTGTAGTAGATAATTAAGTTAAATAAATAATTTTATTTAATTAGTATAATTAAAATTTCGAAGTTGTTGATTTTAGTAAAAATGATTTGATTTTCGCGGTTAACATGAGATGTCTGTAATTGTTTTATATCTCTAGCGTTCTGTTTAATGCAATATTGCATCAGCGAGAGACAATGCTTTACTAGGTTAAGTATTATGCGTAATAGAGCAGAAATAAAGGTAATGAATAATGAATTATTAATGAATTGTTGCGTAGTTATTATAAAAATTTTCGAATTTCTTTTCAAATTTTATTTCAGTGAGAACTTTACAAAATTCTTTGTAAGACGGAGTGTAATTTATTTACAACGGCAACATCGCGTTTAACATGGCGACTGCGCGCCATAATCTTGCTGGAGCTCATATAACTAGTTCTATCTCTTTCCACCGCAGTCAGTACAATGATGCTATCTCACTCGCATCGTACCTATCTATGATGCCGCATGAATCCAAACAAAATAAATTTTGTGCCAGAGAGTACGATCATTCGTGAGCGGGAGTACTTTTCGTCGGTGATCGAATGGTAGCGTTTTGTGTTTTGTAGTGGCTTTACAATAATTACCGTGTTCACAAACATATTTAACACGAATCTCAGTAAAATATAACTCAGAACTATTGTGTGGCTGTTTATGTATGCAGCATTTAGGCATTGTGTGCGTGAAATAAAAATTACGATACAAAAACATTTTCGTATATCGCGAATTAATATTTATGTATCGTGAAGATTAATAAGAAGTATGACTGGAAACTGTGTCTTTTGACGCAAAATTCGGTGAGTGGCTTTGCATTTATTACCGTAGTTACGTGGTTTGCGTTGTGAGACGCATCAGTAACGCAAACACAGCTGACTGAATTGAGTACTTGCATGTTCTATTTGGGTTCTAATAATTTAGGAAGCACGCAATGCCGGTTGTTTATTAAACTTCCGGGTCTTAGACCTTTTAGCATTGAACTCTGACCTATAATTCCATATCTTCGTTATAGGTGCTTCGGTGAGAGCTAATGAAGACCGATATTCCAGGATATGACGACTAAAAGTTTATTTAATATATCAAAAACCTTTTTAAGATCTTGTAAGATTCTGTCATAAGCTTCGTGGTAAAATAAAAGAAAAAAAAGATTGTCGGTTTATTGATATAACTTTTGGTACCTCTCACGAATAATTAATATCAGTGAAGGGACCAGCTTATAGAGTCATCTGTAACACTGCAATACCAGCAGAGAACGTCGCCCTTAAACTTTTGATACCAAAATTCTGTGGTACCACATACAAAGCTTCTCTATTCATGAACATACATACCATCACACACAAACCACAAAAACATAAGAACCCACATTTTTACGTTCAAGACACCGACTACCCCATCACCTCACCAGATCCTGGATGAAATGACGAAGCATCGGCAGCTTAGCTTTTGACTTGGCCTTTCTAAAGGACACCCAAAATGTGACATTTCGTCATTTAATTAAGGGCCTTGGATAACGTGATGTAGATACGTCACTTGACAACCCAAATAGTCTTTTCCATTAATTAAAAGAAGAATCTGAATACCATTAGTATTCTATATCCTAAAAGTGCCAAAACATGTCCATATTTTGAGAGAATATGAAGGAAATATTTTTTAATTTCTGGGACAATAATTCGTTATTTGAATTGTATTCGTTCAGAAATATGTGTTTAGTATATTGTAGCATAAACCGAGCCTGTACGATGCGAACTTTCTACAAAAATCTCTTTGACCCAGCAAGCATGAGGACATTGCTTGTGAAAGTAGCATTTTGGTTCACAGATAAATCTGTGACCTCCTGCTAACAAGGAGCTTTTTCATATCTTGATTGAGCGGTTGGGAATTCAACGACCCTTCAACACGTATTTTGTCTGCCGTCTAATATGAATCTAACCAGTATCAATACAGCAGTTTTAACTCTAGTGTTTGACACTGTTAAGCTTATTGGCAAACAGTTAAACGACTATTATAAAACCAACAATACTTTTTTCTTTGTCCTAACTAACATCGACATTTAAGCGAAAATGGGTTATTGACACATCTGCTGGGATCAGCGAATCTACAATGTTTCTCATCGGTTTTTTTATATCTTATTTAGTTTCAGTTTTATTGTTAAGCAAAATCAGCAATAATTGATATTTTACAAAGAAAAAATCTTTAGTTACCAAATTTTTTTTATATGAAAATAAGTGCGCATTTGACCTCCACTTCACCTGAAGGAAAGTGACGATGAGGTCGAGGATGTAGCATGCACACCTAAATAATGCCTATTCACTCTCCCCTGGAAAAGGTCCAAGTTATAGCGTTCGGGGAACAAGTCCACTCCATAGCCGTTCGCCACATAAATGTGGAAGCGTAACGCTTCGTGCGAATCTTTGGAATATCCACAACGTAAAGGGTGGAACCCCAGCCCACTTCTAGTCCCCCGATGATGGAAAGGGGAAGGCGGAATCAAATTATGCAATTCCATCGCACACTCTCCGTGATATATCCTGTAGAACACTGATAAGCTGGCAACTCTACGGCGGTGTTCAAGGCTCTGCAGCTTCGCCTCTACTAATTCCGAGTCACCTATAATCCTCTTAGCACGCTTGTCTATTGAATCCAAGGTGGCCAGTTGGTATTTAGCAGAGCCATCGCATAAGTGGCAGCAGTACTCCATACACGACCGGACTTGTGTTTGGTACAGCTGAAGCAACTGTCCCGGTGTGAAGTAACGCCTCGCCTTGGAAAGGATGCCAAGCTTCTTGGCTGCAATATCACCAAAAGTTACCAAAATGCAAATGCATTAGATGACAAGGAGCGCAGAATAGGCACAGCGTTTTTCTGTTTTTCATAAGTTTTGCACTTAGCGCGTTTCGTACATACGAAGTGTGAATTTATTTCAGATACTTAGTAATTAAACTCAATGTCTTTTTTTGAAATACAACCTAGAAACCAATATCTATGTGGAACTGTGTCGTGCTTCCGTTAAATTATGTAGTTGCAAAAGTGAGTCCTCAAACTCAAGATCTTGTAAATTTACAACGTAAAATAATTTTCAAAGTTCATGAAAATTTTTTTTATCGGCTTGGAAATATTTATGCATCTGGCACGTGTGGCCGGCGCAGGCGCACGTGCGCGCCACAGCCACGCTTACAATCGGGATAATAACCGCGCCACATTTTTGAGCCCAAACCGCGGCCACACCGTATAATTTGGTCCATCCTGCGCCCGCACACTTTAATCACCTTTAATGGTACATTTCTCGGGGAGGAGTACTTGATTTATAGCTCTAAACTCTCCTAGTCAACCACCAGTATAATAAGACATACGATTTTTATTTCCCGATTTCTTAATTTCTCGACAACTGCACTAGATTTTGGAGATTGTCGGGTACTAGGAAGGCTCATTACAAAATGGTTGTAATTTCGGCATCTTCCGATGAAAGGTGTTCGTAACTTCCAAATGCCGGGTGTTCGTTGATTTTTAACTTCGGTTTGAGGATAAATCGATTATAAGGTACAGGTATAACCAGTTATTTGGAGATATCGATTTCGGGAGCACCAGAAGCGCTTTTTGGGTATACGGTAAGGCTGACTGCCGGAAAATAATGACTTGTGCATGGGAATTTCTCTATCATTATCCAATCTTCCAATAATACAACACCGCTTATGACCAGTAGAGCTCCTTTCATAGTAGCAGTAAAACTCCTTGTGAAAGATCTCGTTCATGGATGTACCTTAATTGTTTCTGCCGCCAAGCAGTGCAGTTTGTCAACTGCAACTGTCGGCAGAAAGCAGTTTTGAAGGATAAGGGTGCTGGAGAGATTACAGATACATGGGACTTGTCAACTTATGTCTCAGGTTGACGGGCACGGTGGCTGTGCTCCTCAGATCTTTGCGATTTTAAGCTCTGAGTGGCACTGCAACTGTTATGGACAGGCGTGTAGCTTACCATCAGGTGCACAATTTGTTCGTCCCGTCATTAGATATTATAAAAAAAGAACAAGTACTACCTTATACTTTACATTCTTCATAAAGCTTAGTGAAGTCCCTTTTTGTGTCAAAATTTTAGAATTTTCTTTAAAATAGTAATAATAACTTTATTGATGAGATAGTTTCCAGTACTTAATTAGCTATTGATTAACCAATCAACATCCTATCATTGTTTACGAGTACAAAAAGGAACTCTGTGATTCCAAAACCAGTACAACACAACTGTGCATTTGGGACCCAGAAAAGGAAAAGTAATCATAAGAATGATGCTATATTTTTAAATAGTATTAGCGCAATTTCAGGGTGACTAAGTGAAATGTCACAAGGATCATTTTATCTCTAGGTATACAAGCGATATTGGCATTTTCTTGGATTGAAATCGGTCTTAGTGCACAAGTGACATCCGAAATGGGTTTCTAGATTTGTATAGTCTCGTATTCGAAACGAATGCGAAAACGCGCTTAAACTATATTATATATATATTTTTTTTACAAATAATTCTAGTTGTTTGAGTTTACATTCAACAGAGAGGTACTTATTTTATCTTGCTTTGCTTAGGATTGCAAATCTTAGTGCATCATGTCAGCTCTTCTTGCACTATAATTTTCTAAAGAGTTTAAATAAAGACCTAGGGATTGCGTCAGAACTTGATTGTCGTTAACGACCGTCGTCGTAATGATCGATAATTTCCTTGTTGCCTTCGACACGCCAAGGAAAGTACCGGTGGCTGTCTGTCTTTCCATTTACTTATTTGAATCTATTAATGTACGATTTTTTAAGATAATACGTTTACTTTACGCTTGATAGGTGTCCACTCCCGTTCTCCGGCCGACATCCAACCGAAACAATTACTGTCATTTAAGTAATACTTAGAGCGCAATTTAACATGTTTTCAAAACCTAGTTAAACCTTTAATAAAAAACAGAGTAACTACCGTCATACATAGACTTAATGCGTCTGGACACTAGCACCTTGCGTACACGCTCACCTTGACCGCTAAAGAGACCAGTCTCGTTGGCTTTGACAAGTTCCATGCGCGGTCCATTCACAACACTATTCTCTTTATGGAATTATCCTTACACTGTAAGATCATGTTCATTATTCTGCCCTCTTCGTCCTAACCATAACTAATTGTATTTCGGTAACAGATATTGGCATTTTGTACTTTTCGGGAAACACAGAAAGAGCCGATAGAGTATTACATTCCTTTGCTATACGCATCAGAAAGGAGGAAGCAAAGCGCTTAGTGCGAATTGGTGGTATATCAACGACATAAGGATGGTGAGAGTGGAGCTTAATAAAAAAATTCCTACGCACACTCCCCGAAATGTATCCGATAGAAAACCGACAAGCAGGCTACTTTTCTGCGGTGGTCGAGATTTTGTAGCTTCCACAAGAGAATGTTGTTAATAAGTCTTTGTCGTTGTCTTTGCTTTTCGGTCCACCGAGTCCAAGGCAGCTAACGGGTAATGGGCAGAGCCGTCCCAAAGGTGGCAGCATTACTTCATAATCAGCAGAACTTGTGCTTTGTACAGATTTAAAAGCTGTACAGGTATGAACGGCGTGTGATGCTAAGGGGGGCAAATATACATAATGTAGACTGGATAATACCCTCCTCTAAAATCCTGGAGTGTTTAAAAAATTAAAGGAAATAAATCAATATATCTTTATACAATTACAACTTTTCGCCTAAATACACTATAACAATACAGTAATTCCTAGTTCCACATTAAAAATATAGAACATCAACATTCAGTCTATCGCAGTGCACGCCCAACATAACGTTT